TGGCTGCCCATGATATCCTACTTGAAGACCTGAGAAGAATAAGCAAAGGAATTAACCAAGCTATTGATTTGACTGAAATTACTTTTGAACCTGATCTTACCAAATCATTCAATTCTATTTCACCAGTGCATGCAAAAATTATTGACTATGAAGCTTCACTTCAACTGTCTGATGGGACACAAATCAGCAGTGAGGTCCTTAATTCTGGCAATGTGAATGCTTCATTATCTGTTCCATCTTCTTGATGTTTTAGATTGATTGCTCATGCAATACTTTCTTCTTACCTGCAACAGAAAGCTACTGATTATATCAGTAGTCTTACTGAGGAATCATCTCAACCTTTTTCTTGGGATGATATGTTACACTCTTTCCAGTCTATTGGGAATCAGCTCTTATATCTCTGGAATACATTTCTGAAATTCCACAGGTATACATACTCATTTTTTTTGGGGTAATAACACATCCAAATAATTATATGAATTCGGCAACTCTCAAGGTGCTTATGGAATTGTAGCCCTGTTTTCAATAAATTTATGCTACAGCACCTGTGCATTCATTATAATTATTATGCTATCTGGAAAAGGCTGCCAGAGTGTTTTTGCATAAAATAATTAGGGAAGCACAATCTTGATGTAGAGGTTTCTAGCTGATTCTAAGCATGCATTTTGTTAGCATCTACCAGTATTATGAAGGGATATCAAGACTGTTATGTAAATTAAGAGAAAGGAAGCAATTAGTTAAATATCTTTATGAGTATAAAAGCATTCCTTCTTGTCTATGACATGGTTTTTCTCTCCCTTTTTAATATCATCGCAAGGGAAAATAAAACAAAGATACTGGAATTTCTCCGTAGCTCGTGGGCTAATGATCGAAGAACTGAATGGTCAATATGGATGGTGTACTCCAAGGTTGATATGCCTCACCAGTACATTAGTAATGGAATTGAGGGGACATCATTGTACCGAAGCCTACGTGGAAGATCGTCAAGTACAAGGAGATACACTGATGATGTAGTTATCCTGTATATACTATATTAGATTTGTAAACTTCGTAAATTATCTTCTGAGTTTGAAGTTAATCATTCTATTGTCTTCATATGAATATGTGTAACGACTTATTCAAATATGTTATATCTCTCTTTTCCTTTTCAGCCTGTTCAGACTGCAATAGTGCGAGCTGAACTTCATAGGCGTGGTATAGCACAAATGAGGGTAAGTAGTTGTTTGTACATGGAATGTTTATAATTATAAGCTTTCCTTTTCCTCTTGATAGGTAATCTCCTTTTCCATACAGATCAATAATCGATCACTACAAGACATGTATATATTTGGAGATCCTTTGCGTGTTCCTATTATTATTGTAGAACACTTGGAAAACATGTACCGTTCTACCAGTGTGAAGTCATACTTCATTCCTTTGGTGGAGAAAGCAAGACATATCCTGGAAAATGGATCTAAAACCTCAAACAAGTTATCTGGGAATAGCCCACAACGAAATGAGCACATTTTGAGAGTAGTTGTTTTTGTTCATGGGTTTCAGGTATGCCTCACATTTTTGCAGTGGCTTTTTTATCCTTAATCTTCTTTTTTGGCTGTTCTTTCTTGATATGTTGTTACTTTGTGGCCTTCAATTTTTTGTGGCAAAAAACTGCATTTTTCAAAAAAAAGTTTGAAAACTGAAGCAGCACTACCTGAAAACAATGGTAAACATTGGTTTGTTGACCTTGTTTAAATTCAAGTATATATTAATCACTCTGTCCCTAGTTTTCTAAATACATGAGTAATAGGTAATTTAGATCTCACCTTCAAAGAGAAATGTGGAGACACGCAAATCGACTTCCTTTAATTTCAGCTAATGTTGTTTGCTCTGATGACCTTGCTTTTACTTTTTACTCTAGCCTGATTTATTTTCTATTTTGTTTTCCTTTTCCCCAGTTATTGCTTATAATTGCTAATGAAATTCCTTGTTTTGACCGGATCATCTGACTAAGTACACCCTTTGCTACACAAACAAACAGGGACACCATTTAGATTTACGGCTTGTTCGGAACCAATGGCTTTTAATAGACCCCAAAATACAGGTTCTTATGTCAGAGACAAACGAAGAGAAAACATCTGGAGACTTCAGAGAAATGGGATTACGGCTTGCTCAGGAAGTGATTACTTTCCTGAAAAGGAAGATGGATAAAGCTTCAAGAAGTGGAAACTTAAAAGATATCAAACTTAGCTTTGTTGGCCATTCTATTGGGAATCTCATTATCAGAAGTGCTTTGGCAGGTATTTTCAGACAGTTTTGAAGGAATGAAGGATAAGTAATATCTCATCAAAATCTAAACTAGGAAAAGTAATTTATTTATTTTTTAAATTTCAGAAAGCATCATGGAGCCATATCTAAGATACTTATACACATATGTTTCTATATCTGGTCCGCACTTGGGTTATATGTATAGCTCGAACTCTATATTCAATTCGGGATTGTGGCTCTTGAAGAAGATCAAGGGCACGCAATGCATCCATCAACTAACTTTCACAGATGATCATGATCTCGAGAACACCTTCATCTACAATCTTTCAAAGGTATCAAAATACATATTATCTTGAACATTATGCATAGGGATATAAATGCTACATTCAAATTTATGGTTGCCAAAGTATAATATTGTTCATTATCTTGTACTGCAGAAGAAGACACTGGCAAACTTCAAGAATGTGATTCTTTTATCCTCACCTCAGGTATTAGATAGGCTATGAAGCATAGAGCCATGTTTTCATTTAATTTATTTCTAAAGCTTTATCATAATTCGATATCGCCATGACGTGTCAGGATGGGTATGTTCCATACCATTCTGCGAGAATAGAACTGTGTCCAGCAGCTTGTATGGATTTTTCTAAACAAGGAAAAGTGTTTCTGGAGATGTTAAATAACTGCTTGGACCAAATTCGAACTCACTCCGAGCATCGCGTCGTCATGCGCTGTGACATTAACTTCGAAACCTCATCCTACGGCAGAAGCTTCAACACACTCATTGGAAGGGCTGCTCATATTGAATTCTTGGAGTGTGACATTTTTGTCAAGTTTATAATGTGGTCTTTTCCAGAGCTCTTTAGTTAGTTTCTGAACAATCATTTCTTGCATTGGCATGTACAAAGAAAGAACAGAAGCACGTGTGTAAGATAATGGTTTAAAGTTATTAGTGTTTACATGTTAGTTCTTTAGGTTAGAAACATAGGCAAAATATTGTTGTACACTGACAATTGAAATTTAATAGTTTTATGTTGAATTTCAATCTATCTTTGTAATACATTTTACACTCTGATTTTGCCTTTTTGGTGCGTTACTAACATCCGGGGTCGTGTCTGTCAATGGAAACATAGAACGAACTTCATTTTCTTCGATTCCAAAAACCTGCTCCGGTTGACGCCTGTTGAAGCAAGAAATTGTGATGTAATAAATATTGAAAATAATTAATTCATGTCTACAAAGTAAAAAAAAAAAAATTCTTCCGAAAAAAATAGACTGAGAATCAAATAGACAATTATTTTTAGCAAATTGAAAATCATGGAATAATAGAAAATGACGTAAATATTATAGGTTTATTTGTTTTTAGTATTTGGTGCATATTAGATAAGATAATAATTGTTTATAAAATATTAAAATTACCTTTGTATGAAGCGATAATAGTATCATAAATTGTGAGCGACGGTGATGATCGTAAAATAGCGTGGGAAGGTAGCGATAGTAATAGTGGCAAGATGATAGTGGTAGCAATATTGCAAGCAAGTAACAACAGAATGATAATAACGAAGCAATTGTTATAAAAGTAAATTTTGAATATTCTCATTTCTTATAGTTGTGAAGACGTCTTATATCGATTAAGAATATAAGATAGATACTTTTTTTTGTAAGACTTGGACAGTTCTCCTTGTATGAGCAAAATTTTGGGAACAAGCATGATTTTCTAACATTGCATCATCAAAGTTTATCTAGTCTGAATATTAGACCTTCTGCAAATGTTTAATTCTGTAAAGTTTAGACACCAAATGTCTAATCTAAGCAAAGATGGTCACGATACACTTTATTAGGTTTAAACAATCCTCTTCCTACAAGTTAATTTTTTAATGATAATTTTGGTGTCTATATATTCAGGGTTGTGTAAGAAAAACGTGAATATAATTTTACATTCCTTTTAATTGGTGATCAACAATTGTTTGACTTTATCCATGAGATTTGCCTGTTTCCCCAGCTCATCAGTATTGTGTTTTGAGCTGCCACAGAGCTGGTTATTGTTTTGCCTTGTCATGTCTACTAGTTGAATTCCACGCAATGTGCCATCTTCAATCTTCTTCTCCTAATATGCTACACCATTTTTATTAAGGTTACAAGACGAGAGCAAAAATGAAAAAAAAAATATATATATATATATATAATCAAAGCATTAGAATATTCTTTTGCCAAATGACCATTACCTTTGGACGTGTATTCATATTTTTCTACTTAAATTTTAGTTTATGCAGAGCAATTTTAAACCGCATAACTACCGTTTTCTTAATTAACCCAAAAAAAATTAACGTTGGTGTATTTAGTTGTAAGGTTTGACTTATCGTTTCTCTTCTTCATAAATATTTGTAAGAATACCATATTTTTATACCCTTTTTTGTTTTCAAATATTTCATAAGTACTTGTAAAAACATGATCTTTTCTTTATATATTTTCTGTTTTCAAAGATTAATATAAATTTTTTTAAAAAATTAATTTTCTGTAATTATGTATTAGAACATAAAACATCATTCCCAAATGAAACATACATTTATATTTCAGTTGACTAATTGGTTAATTTAAGAGACCAGATGCATAGGCAACAATCCTTTTAAGACTTTCACTAACGTGGATAATTTGTTCAACTCATCTTAACAAACCATCGTCCATATCTTCCAAAAACAAGTGGAATTATGACTATGTTGATGGGTCCAACTCCCAGACAACCCATGCCCAGCCTCAGTTCATAATTTTCCCGAAGCACCACGATTTTCATGATTCCCAAACAATATTTGACCAATCTATTCAGTGCCCACCATGTAAGATACAAGATCACACAGCACCACGTGTCAGATTATATGTCCCTCTCAATTACCAAACATGTACCAGACAATGTAGATGGCAGCAGAACCTACAATCTGTTAAATGATAGTTTGTTGGTAGAATCTAGTGAGAAAAAAACAGCAGCATTGCAAGTTAAAAATGCGCTAAATCCTATTACATCAGGAATGCACTACGGTTACAATTGAGTCATACAGAAGCTGAGTAACAACAATTTGCCTATTCCCATGACACTGGTAATAAGAACAGGGAAATTAAAGAGAAACAAAGGGAAAGATACCATCATCACTGTTTGATTAGCTCATTTAAAAAGACCTTTGCTTCATGACCTATCTATTCACAAGCCAATTTGGTATCAAAGCTGCTCAAGCATATTGCAAAAGCTTGGAATGCAGATAAAGGATACCGATAATCCATGGTGAACATATCTTTCCCAACTTTGCCAAACTGAAGAATAATCTTGTCATGCTCTGGTGGAGCTGGTTGAGAGGGTGTGGGTGCACCGGCAGCTGGTTGGGTGGCAGCAATCAACTGAAAGTTTTTAACAGAAGCAACTGTCACTCGTCCACGAAAATTAAGGCACCAACATTGTAATTGTTCATGCCATCTTGGAGGCTTGTTTTTCAGAACCAAGGGTCTCATCTTCCCTTCATCATCCTCATTACAGGATTCCCCAATCTCAGAAAATCGAGAACTGCTGAACTCAATGGAACGATCTAGAGACTTTGAAAATGAGATGCTCCGAAATGAGTCCTCCAGGGAACGGGGAAGAAGCTCTGGCTGGCCAGGAACAGTGCCACCAGCATCAAGTGCTGAAGCTGGTATTGAATGCATAACGCAGTGCATCTTTCTTGGGCCTCGAGTCCCAAGCACATTTAATTCATATGTTACCTGAGCTATGTTGTAACTCCCAGATGGAACCTTAGGCGAGACCTTTTTGGAATAAAATCTGCGGCTGGTTTTCCCAGTCCCAGGAGGGCATATATGGGCAGAAGAGTATGGAGGCTGTGTATCATATATAATGAATTTGGTACCAAGAAAGTTTGACCTGGGGTATGAAAGTTAGAAAATTTCATAAGCGAGACGATAAGGATATAAAACAAAACATAAAAACAAAACACTTGGTAGATGGGCTTTAAGCCTTGAAAGGAAAAATAGGATAAATCTACATAGCATAAGTGGAAAATTAATGATGCAATATGAGCCTAAACTATTACCATAAATTGAGCTTAAAAAGAGTATGATCCTATTATTGGCAATATCAATTAAATCTATTGTTAAATAATGTACTTAAGATATGTTAAAATCAAAATGCTTACATCTATCTCCAACCAAAATCAATAGCAAGATCATGAATTCCACTGTTATACTTCAGGGAGTTAGAATGCATTCTCCTAGTCCGAATTTTAAATCATATTTTTTAACAATTTTTTAAGTAGACAAAAAAAGGGGTTCTATAATGAATTCAAAGACAGCGTAATGTGAGGGTGTTAAACACTTGCAAGCAGTAAACTCACCTCAGCTTTCCAATGTAAGTGTTACTTGATCTAGAGATGTTGTCAGCATCCATGGAAATAACATACTCAGTATAAGTTGTTCTCCTTGTCCTCTTGGCAGAAAGGAGGAACTTTCCATTTTCAACTAACAAAGCTGCAAAGACAAAATAAATTAAGAAAAAAGAAAAGTAAAAAAATGAAACGAGTTCTGTATGCAATAGACTATTAACAGTAAAAACCAATCTCTGACCAATTCCCATTCACCACAGAGTATACAGACAGACTTAAGCGCTTCCAAGGCAGCAATTAATAATAGATGGAAATGGTTTGTGCACACTTCAGAAAACTGCTAATCCAAATCATAATTTGACAGAATAAAGAAACATTTCAAGATCTAAATAACTCAGACGTTTCACCCCCAACTACTGCAAAGACCATCTGTAATTTCATCTAGTCAACATCTAAAAATAACCAACCCAACACACCGGGGGAAATGAAAAAGTATAAACACGACAACTGATTAACTTTACCCACCTTATAAAAAAAACTGCATAATAAATTATCAACCATTAGCTTCAAAACCTTACAGAGTTATGACAAATGTATCCATGAGAATTCATATAAATGACAAAAACCCTGTTAAAGCTTGCCCCCAACTAAATGGCTATCAAACAAGATGATCCTTTCTCCTCAAATCAATCATAAAGGGAAATCAATAAACACAGGGAAGCAACCATTATGGAACTACTGATTTTCATCCTCGAAGTAACGAGTGAATGCAAATTCAAACAAAGAATGAGAGAAGGTGAATGGAAACTTGATCTATAAAACTCATTTCCAAAACTATCCTTCAACACTAGCAGTAAACGCTTCAAAAGCATAAAATAGAATTACAAGTGTCATCACATATTATTATCAAATCATATATTCAAGCACAAATGTATACACAGACAGACAATCAACATATGCACAAATATTTAATTACTTTTATAGCACGTCAAGATCAAGCTAAAAGTCAAAATCAGTAAATTCAACAGGTTGAACTTTTGAAACATTACATCAAAACAAGTTTACAGAGATATACCAGAAGATCTAAACATAAAACCATAGAAAACCAAGGGATAACTAAATGTACAAATAGAAAGTTTACCAGGACTGAGACAAAGGAATAGGTGGTATGTTAAATTAGATTTATCTCTTTTGATAAAACATTGAATGATTCCATCCCGTGGCCCAGGCTGAAAAGGGAAAGGAGCAATAAATGAGGGTGTGGCTTCAACCCACAATATCAACTATCATTGTTATCGCCACACAAATGTAACAGATTAATCACTAAACGCAAGAACAATCTGCTAGCAAAATTAATGAAGCTAACCTGCTTCAAGGACACAGGAAATGTAAGTTTGCCGCATAACTCTGGACTCTTAACAATTTCTTTGCACATACTCCTCCAAGACTGGCAAACTGCAGCACATGCAACAACATGCTTTCGAGCAGGCCATGTATTCTCACTCTCCTCTAGCCGTCTAATGATATCAAACAGTAATTCTGGGGGTAAGCTTGCCCAACGACTATTTTGAATTACTAGCGGTTGGTCATGCAAATCTTGTACCGAACCTTGAGATTTTCCTCTATGATGGCCAGTAAGTCTGACATCAAAACTACGCCTAGATAAGCTCCCAAAACTATCTCTCACATCACGAACTATGCTGCGGAATGACATTCTGCAGGTGGATCCCAAGAATAATTATATATATATATATATATATATATATATATCTTCCGAGAACTTCTGATGTACTATATCCAACCACTGTGAGCATACGGCTGCCATAAAAGGAGAGTTTTAGCTCGATAATCACATCACCTCATAAAAACACTAATTATTCTTCAAATTTCCCACCAAAATACTTTCTAAAAAGTGATCCAAATTAGACGCCATTTAATATTTCAATCAGCACTTTCAGACGCTCCCATTTAACCATCCATGGCCATGAACTAAATGCAAGAGGTATTTACAACAATTTAAGTCAATGGGGTTCCACAGCAGATAGTGAAATGCCAGAGGGAACGAGGCTGTCAAGACCAGATATTAGGCCATCACCCACCATCACGAAGGATAGCTCACAATAGCATTATCATGTGATATGGTAGCAATCACAGAAGTAAAAATGCCATCACATTGTTTATATCAACAAAAAAAAAAAATCAATATTTTGTTAGTATATAAATCTTAATTGATTTTTATATGGAAGCTGTATTAGGCACACAAAATTAATTATTTACAATAACATATAGCAAAAATATCACCAATTCATCTGCTAACTGTGCAAGTACAGAAAAAGAAACACTTTAAAAATTCTTATCCTTTGGCTATAATCGTTAACACCTGGAAGGAACAGAAGCAAAGGGAGGCAGGAACAGAGACTACCTCTTAAAAAAAGGAGTTAAGATCAAGTCAATCAAAACTACCAAGCTGGATCAAAAGCCACCCTTAATCTGCAAAGCACAAGAACGCGTTAGAAGATGAGTCCTCAAAACTCTGAATTTTAATTCTTACAATCTCGTTTTGAGATATGCCTGCCATAAACACTGGAACCAAAACAGCCCCATTTCAGTTCCCACCATTTTCCTCACAGAACTTTGAGAAGCTGAAAAGCCATGAATTTTTCCCCAGCATTTTCAAAAAGAGACCAAGTAGAAACATAAGACCCAGATTTGAAGAAAACCCCACAGATTGTTTGAATGGAAAAGGAGAAAGAGACAGAGAAAAAACAGTTGAGATTTGGGAGAGAAATATACCCAGAATAGAGAGATCTGTAGCTGAAGTATTAGCACTTGTTTCAGAGATGAAATCTACAGAAGAATCAGAAAGAGATCCCTTTTACGCAGTACAACGAAGCTTTAGGTCAGAATGCCAACATCTCCTCTTCCCAGTTTCTTACACCTCTCTCTCTCTCTCTCTCTCTCTCTCTCATGGTCGGACTCCAAAGTTTCGTTAAATGTAGTTCGTGAGGTAAAGGAAAAAGCAAGGAAGTTCAATTATTTATTTATTTAAAGATTAAAGGTATAATATTGTATTTAGTATTTTAAAATAATAGATGTAATTCTGACATGGAGAAGCTTAGTGTACCCACTTGGTCTCCATGACCAAATCGTACCATAAAGCAAGGAATGTAATGTCATCTCCTCACTCTCCCCCCAATTATCGTCTCTTTTATTCGGACATATTTCCAAAAAACAAATATTATTTGCGCAACTTTTCCCTTCCTTCAACAAATCTTCATAAAAAAAATCCTGAAAACATGCACTCGTTCTTCTTAGAAATATCTCCAAGTTTAAAGAATGTTCATAAGAATATGTATAGATCTTTCATAAATAAACATTTTACATTAGTAGTCAAATTTAAACTCGTTAATTGTAAAATATAAGCTCAATTAAATTTTATTGATAAAATATGCATTAATTAATTAAGAAAGAATAATATAAACATTGTTTAATAGAATAGAATATGTAAAGACAACTGAAGTGGAAGTTTCTAGATTATCAGTTTGTAGATATATGTATTATTAAGGCGGACAAAATAATGTGTTTTCCTATTTTAAATCGTTTGAATGTGATATACATTTTTAATACAGTTTGATTTGGTGTTAATAATAATTGTCTATTTATTTTTCTTTGGTTCCTAATATTTTTTTGTTTTAATTTCTTAAAATGTACTCCATCTATTAAAAAACACAGATCAGCATATCTTATTAAACCGGTAACATTATAAAAATGATTACCACTTCATCACTGCAAATTGAAATAGTAATTTGTTTGAAGGCAGCCTTTTTTAATATGAACTAATAGACACTATTTTTTTTCTTCTGACGTTTTAGCGTGAAATACAAGATGCTGATGCTCTGGTTAACGATATTCATTTTGAATGAAATAGGAAATAAAATAAAGTAAAATAAAATAAATATTCCAAACAAAGCATTAAAGTAAAATTTACTATTCGTCAATATTATTGAATCACCTATATTACAGGTGGACAGTTTAACTAATAAAGAATCCATCGTCAATGTCCTCCTTCATTGACTTTTTTTTTTTTCTCCATTGTCATGTGCTTAATTATTTCCAAGTTAATAATAACAAAATTGAACACTCTGAAACGCTCCAGTGCTTAAAATTTCTTCATAAAACTATATTTTCATTACAGTGTCACATGTCTTAGATAATTTTTCAGTTAATTGTTTTTTACAACACAGTATGTACGAATAAAATAATGTGTTCTTAGTATTTTTTTAATAAAAAATCATATAAAATCAGTATGGTATTTAGTACCTAATCCGTGGGCTCACTCTGTATTGAGCTGTGATTGGAAGGAAAATCCTACACAGTAAACACGTAAAAAGTCAGTAAGTAGGTAGAAGCCCGAGAATTACGCATGTGTCGTTCAGATGCTATGTTGACAATGATTTCAATGAATTGAGACTTGAGAGATGTTATTTTGAAGCCTCTTTTTTGGGTACCTTCCTTCCAATTCCATAAACTGTTTTGTTCTTTGTTGAACTTTGGATTAAATGATTGATTGTTTGCAGTTGGAGTTTTGGTGTCAAAGTCTGACTTTGAGGATGCTCGTTCATAATTATTGAAGTTGATTTTGAAGTTGTAATTTAGAACAATCCTTTAACCATTTGTTTACATACACATTGCTATTGAGTAAACTCTGACTAAACAATGGTCATTTTACTCCCTAATTTTATAGAACACACTTTAAATTATGAAAGATCACTTTATAATTCCTTTTAATTAACCTTTCGTTTTATTATATATAGTTAAAAATTGTGGTTTAATGGATTGGAGCATTTGTTTATTGAGTGTGACATGTTTATGAGTACAGTGGGGTCCCCATTTCCTCGGTCTGAAGCCATCTGGCAGCTGCATTTCATGCCATCATTATGAGAAGAAGAGCCCTCTAAGCTAAACCCAACCAACTCCTGTTTTTGGTCAAAATATCACCGCTATTTCATCATGAGCCTTAAATAACGATGATCCGCTTCTGTTTTCCTCTCCTTTTTTATTTTTTCTTTGGAGCTTGAAATAAGCTCATTATAATGCTTGAAATGGATGTTGTTCTTACATGATAAAAATAAATAAAGAAATAATGTTGATTATTTTGCTTCACGCTCCGATTGGATGGGTGTGAATAGAAATAATGTTGATTTTTTTTATTTTTAGATTAGTGAAAATGCAAGAGAAGGGAAAACAAGTGACACATATATATAAAAACACGAAAGATTCCGTCAACGTAATTAAATCATGATAGATTTTTTATGTAATTCTTTTATTTTCTGTGTTTTTTAAATTTATTTGAATTTAATAATAGTTTTTCATGAACTCTAACTTGATAAGGTACTGTGATAAAAATACGTTCAAATATTACTATGAAGGTAAAATATCAAGTATCCATAAAGAGAATTCTATAAGAAAAATAATTATATTATATATCATGTGGATGAAATTACGTTAAGATATTTATAATAATATAGTATAATTAAAATTTAAATAATTTAAGTAACAAAATATAAGTATGTCTATTTTATTATTCTAACATTTCTCTTTCAAATTTAGAGTTTAAAAATAGAATAACAAGTTTAGATAAGAAATTATTGAGCTTAGTACTTGAAATAGCTTTAGTCAAGCCATCTACAATTTGATGAAGGGTGTATAAGTAAAAACTATTCTCATGACATTATATGAAATTAGAATATTAAAAAGAATTAAAAATACTAATAATAAAACTTTAGACTTGCTTATTAAAGATATCAGCTTTATAATAAAAATCATTATATTTGATCTTTAAAATTTATAATAAGTGATAGATTATCTTTATAAATTACACTCTCAAATCACAATTTTTGATAGTGTAAATTGTAAAATAACTCATGTGATTACATGATTTTCAGTTATTATATAAGAAACCTAGTCAAATATATAAAGTACTAACTATAATTTCCTCCTATCTTGAACTTTTGGGTTAAGGCCTATACTTTAACCCAAACTAATCAATTAAAGATATTCAAGTTCAAACAAATAAATCACTTAAATTAATTATTAACCTTATTTATGTACCTAATTTGGATCATGAATTAATTTATTTTTATTAAAATCAAAATAACAATTGATTATAGTCCACGTAAAATTATTAAATAATTCTAACATAGTGGAGATGGATGAATTGAAACCTTATCATTAGTGGAGACTAATTTATGTGGCATACATAATTCATGTAGTATGGATTGTATCCAAATAATAAATGTTGTGGTTGCAGCAAGGGATTTATATTAAGCTTTCATACTTGATGTGCTAATAATTGGTTTCTTCTTAGAGGACCTGTTAATGATATTTCCTTCAAATAAAGTCTTGAGGTGGATCACCTATCATTAAGATAATTTTACAATTTGAATCACACTAAGTTGCCAAATGAAAATTGGAGTAGGTTTATACTGTAACTAAAGAGACTATGTCTCATGAAGGTATCAAAGAACTCTCTTGACTGCTTTTTAACGAGAGTCTAAAAGATTATGCATAAATTGACACATCTTATTTATATTATAGGTGATATTATGTCTAATTATAGTAACATATCATAAAGTGCCTACTATGAACCTATATAAGTGAGGATCATGAGAAATGGTTCATTGATTAGTTAACAACTTAAGCCCATAAATCATTAGTATGGGTATAAGCTTACTAGAATCCATTGCATAAAGGAATATGGATCTCATCAAGCACATTATCAGCCCATCATGGCTCCCAACTACTATCCACTACAAATAAGGCATGTACCAATCTTTCATGTCATGGATTTATAAACAAAAAAAATTGAATAATTGGAAACAAAACAAGAAGCATTAATGAGATAAATTTAAGATCTTAGTTTCTATTATTTTGATGTAGTAAAAGTTGTCCATAAAAAATATAAAGTCCTTTTTTAAGTTTTCCTTGGAGAAGAATCTGCTTTGTAACATGATGAAACTTAAATAAAACATTAATGCTTTTACCAAATTGAGAAACATTTAGTAAATATTTTTTTATAATTTTGGTACATATAACAAATTGGAAATATTGAAGAAAAGTGAAGTTGAATTTGAATGTAAACTTTTACCAACATGTGCAATTTTCATACCTAACAGATTACCTATATGGACTATGTCTTGACTACTACATGGATTACAATTGATGAAGTTTGTTTGATCATAAGGAGCAAGTAACATGTTGATCTTGAATTAGGGTACTGGTTAACTTCATATTTTTTAGGGTAGGTGTTCTTGCTGGGTGAAGGTTTAACGTATGCTACATAGGTTTGTTTATGATTTACACGATTATAATCATTGAGAGTAGATTTATTTTTAAAACTAAATGTGTTTGAAAATCTTGGTTAAAATGATGGTAACATTCCCATACTAGGTGACCAATTTTTGCCATACAATTAAAATTGTTGTTTCCCTATATTTAGTGTGCACAACCTCTACTTTCATTTCTACCACCTTTGTTGAATTTGCAAAAAAAATTCTTTTTCGATTTGTAGGAAGTTAGGACACCCCTATGCGTTAAAAATTTTATTTGATACACTTCTCTTGAATTGAAATTGCGATATGTTTGAATGATCAACATGGATTTTGTATTTTTTTAAAACATTCATCTTGAATCAACAACAAGGATTCAATCATCACATTCTTCTCTAAGTCATGAAAAATGGCTTCAGTGTAATTCCATCAAAAACTTGTTCAAAAAATTGTTTTCCAATTAGAATTCAAAAACTTGTTCAAAAAGATTCAAAAACTTGTTTGGAGGGCATGTGTACCCATCAAAAAGTAATAAAGGATTCTTAAATTAAGTTTCCGAAATATCGTCTCACAAGGATTGTTTTCTAATTACTAAGAATTTCCTAATTCAATTGTTTAAGCTTCAAAGATATGAGATTAATTAAAATAAGAATTTATAATTATAAACTAAGAACAAGGAATACAATACACGTCTTGATTAA